GGACGATAGGACGCATGGCTTCTGTGACAGAAATTCTATGACAGAAATTCTGTCACAGAAGCTGCAGTTAGTGACTGCTGAGACAGGTGGCGCTGTCTCAGTAATCACACGGAGCAGACGAAGAACGACGTTCTTCGTATGCTCAATGGGCTCTATGGTGAGCTCCTATGGGGGACCGTGACGGGTCACGGTCCCCCAGAGGAATGGGGTACCCAGAAAACCACGGCGGGGGGGCGGACACGATCGTCGATGCCGCCGCCGCTCGATTTAATACAAGGGATCTAATTAGATCCCTTGTATTAAACGAACAGCGGCTCCCACTGTACATTCAGCTCCGCTTGTCAGGAGCAGGGCTGAATGTACAAAAAGAAACTACTCGCCCGGCGCCCGAAACTGCATGTCCCGGGCGTCGGGCGATAGGTATTCGCTCCATAAGACGCAGGCACATTTTCCCCCTCCTTTTGAGGGAAAAAAAGTGCGTCTTATGGAGCGAAAAATACGGTATTTGGCTCCCAGACCGGAATGGCAGTCGGGAGCTACATAGTATTTGAGGTTGAATAAGTCCATCAAGTCCAACCTATATACATACACACACACACACACATATATATATTCGGGTCAGGGAGCCATATACAGTACATATATTACTAAAGCTGAGGCTCGCAGACCTGAATGGCATTTGGGAGCTCCCTAATGCAATTCAGAAATTCGGATCCCGAATGCCATTTGGGTATGGGAGATTCAGCTTTAGTATTATTATCTGTATATTGTTCTCTATGGTATTCGCAGCGAATATTCGTACACTCATTCGAAACTAACAAAAATTCATATTTCATCCAAATCCGAAACCAGAACCGAATTGTTTTTCGAATCTGAATGCCAAAATAACAAAATATCTGAACCGACCCGAACTGAATTTTTCCGCAGCTTACATGTCTAGTAGTTTAATGTTCCCAAATTTACCTGGGTAAGCGGCATTACCCTTTAAAGTGTATTTATAACCAAACTCCCCATTATGCTAGAGAGATTTGCTCTCTGTTATGTCAAATCTCCCCAATGGTACATGAATGATATAAATCTGTTTTAACCAACCACTACTCTATTAAGAGTTTGTAAATAGTACTAGGAAGTGTTAGAACTTCTAATAGGTTTTTATTGACATTTGTGTCCCTACTGGGGAGATTTCTTCTCACTTCCTCAAGACAGGAAGTGATGGCAAATCTCTGCAATGGGGAATGCAGGAAAAAAAATACATTTTTAGTGGAGCGGGAAGGGTTAGAATGTCTGACAATGTTTTTATTGCTATAAGTGGTTTCCGTTCCAATTTTTTATATGAGGAACACAAGAACGGGATGTGAAGGAAAATCTCCACTATGGGGTCAGAAGCAGAAGTTTAAACTTTTCCAATATAAAAATATAATTATAGTTGTCTGAAGGTTGGCTTGAAGTTTGTCTGGTATTGGGGCTCAATGTTCTATCAATAAGTTGTATGTTGAATGCTGTCTTTCAGATTCTAGTTTAGACATCTTCCCCAACAAGCTCACCCCACTGGCTGACAACCTGTGCCTTGTAGACGCTGGTTACTTTATCAATGCGAGCTTCCCTCCTTTACTGCGGACGGAAAGGAAGGTCGATATCATTCTATCATTTGACTATACACTGGACACCCCACTTCAGGTAAGCAGTTTGGGAACTTCAAGTGGAAGGGATTACAATTAGTACTACTACAAGACTTTTCTACATAGATAGTTGAGCACAGGGGTAGGTAACCTTGGCACTCCAGCTGTTGTGGAACTACAAGTCCCATGAGACATTGCAAACCTCTGACAACCACATACAAGACTCCCAGAGCCAGAAGCATGCTGGAATTTGTAGTTTCACCACAGCTGGAATGCTGTGGTTGCTTACTCCTGGTTTAGCAGCTAGATAGCCATGACTTGAGGGAGGTTGGAGATAAAATTGCCCTTTTTGTACCCATGAGCAGTGGTAATAACAACATGTTCTTATGGGATGGGAACACTTCCACACTTCCATTATCCATCCTTGAAGAGATTTGTTTCAGTTTATATCCCAATATGTGAAATATTATAAAGCTTCCCCAGATAATTGGTGAAATGGCCGGAGGTACTACTTTTTTTCGTTTTGAGATTTTCCAATCAGCTGATCGAGGGATGCTGGCTGGAAGGATGCTGACAGCGGCACCCACTGGGCGAACTTAGTCCGGTTCCTGAAGAAATTTGCTTAATGTGTGGCCAGCTTTGTACCAGGGGTGGGCAACTCCAGCCCTCCAAGTATTGTGGAACTACAAGTCCCATAATGCATTGCAAGACTGAAAATTACAGGCATGACTCCCAGAGGCAGAGGAATGTTGGTATTTGTAGTTAAAGTACAGCTGGAGGGCCAGGATTGCCCACCCCTGTCTTAGAGAGTTGTCCTCAAAACAGGTGTGCCCATTGGAAGATTTCCTCTTGCTTCCTGTTTGGTTGACAACTATAAAAATTTGAGATTTCCCATCATTTTCTGTCTCAGTAACAATGGTGACCAGAACACACAGAGAGGGTGAATCCCCCAGCAGTGAATCTCCCCAACAGAGGTTTGAGTACTTTTTGATAGCTTTAGGGCTTGTTCACACCATGGCCGGACCAGATTTGCAGCAGATCTGCAAATGTAGTGCAGTGCATTTTTACGGTTTTTTTTAGCTTAAAATTGGCTTTCAGGTGCAGTCCAGTGCTTTTGCATGCATTTATGATGCATTTCCATGCGTTCCAGTGCTTTCCAGGCCAGAGAAAACAACAGACTGCGGAAGAGAGCCCAGAAGTACCATAAGGATACATTGGGATGCTTTTTTTGGTTCAGGAACAAATTGTTCTGGTCTGGATATGATCTGGACATGGTGTGAACAAGCCCTTAGTCCAGGAGTAGGCAACCGTAGCCCTCCAGCTGTTGTGGAACTACAAGTCCCATGAGGCATTGCAAGACTCTTGACAGCCACAGGCATGACTCCCAGACATTGGCATCACTAGGAGGGTGCGGAGGGTGCAGCCCGCACCTAGGTGACACCATTGGAGGAGTGACACCAAAATGACTGGCAGTCGTTTTGGTGTCACCCCCTCTATAAAGCCGAACACCCAGTCATGGACCGAAAGCCCGACAGCTGCTCAAGAGAGGAGGGGACCCGGCGTAATGCATTATCCCGCCAGGTGAATGTCCCCTCCTCTCTTTGCCTGCGTCCATCACCAAGATAGCTGTAGGCAGGTATAAGCACGTGACGTGATGACGTTGTGTGTGCACGATGATGTTACGCGCATGCGCAATGGCATCACTGCAGGGTGTCACCCGGTACCCGCTCCGGGTGACACCCTGCCTCGGAACACTCCTGCTCCCACAGACAGAATGCTGAGGCTGCCTACCTCTGTTCTAGTCCTTTCTCACCATAACCTGTATGGTTATACTGTCCCAACAAAGGTCCTAATCTATCCCTGCTTCATCCCACAGGAAAAAAAAAAAGGTTTGACTAAAAATACACGTTTATTTGGAACCCTACTAATACAATAATGCTGTTTTCTGTGTCACAAGTTCTATAGCAATTATGTTATTTATCTTAAATGAGATGGTGAGAACCTCTACAGTGACACTGAGATGCAGAATAAATAATTGATCTGTATTCTTTCTGTTTGCAGTCCGTAGAGCAGACATGTACCTACTGTACAACGCAGGGTATCTGTTTCCCCCGAGTATCACTGAGCGACGAAGACAGAAAGAAACACAAGGAGTGCTACATTTTTGAAGATGAAGACAATCCTAACGCTCCCATAGTGCTTCACTTCCCTCTTGTGAATGACACATTCCGAAAATACAAAGAACCCGGTACGTCCTTTTCTTTCTATGTTGCAGCGGCCCTTCTGTACCTGTTTTTTTTTTTATTCAATTCTTTTTATTTAAACCAAGTGTTTTTAAAATGAAGACATAATCCTGGAAGCTGGTTGTTCACGTTTTTGGTGCCTTGACTGTGTATTGTATTTTGGGGTTTATAAATTATCATATCTAGTTTGGTGATTTGATAGATTTTCATTCTTTATATATCTGCACAGAGATTTTCATCTGATCCAACACATCTGACACATAGGGTGTATTTATAAACAATTCACAGAGCCATTCGTCCTAAAAAAAACTCTGTGAGTGTTCATTCTGTTGATGGAGGCAAAAATTAATGTTCTTTTTCCTAAATGTTGAATGTATAATTAGAAAAATACTCCACTAGATGGAGCTGAGGAGCATAAAAAATAAATACGTCTTTCCTTTTCTCCTCAACTCCATCTAGTGGCCATATGTAGTATTTTCTCATTATTACATTCGACCTGAAAAGAAAATAAACTAAGGACGTTTTTTTTTGCCTCAATTCAGAATGAACATTCACAGAGTTTGGCAGGAAGAATGGCTCTACAAATTGTTTATAAATGCCACCAATAGCCTTAAAATGGATCTCTAACAAACACACCCACATAAAATACATATCTGTTTTCCATTTCTTCTACCAAAGTATTTGTAATGCTATGCAGCCATCTTATGATTTACACACGTCTGCCACACTGTACAGCCAGGATGGCCACACCGCTACTTTCTGGTTCAGCTCTTTTGTTTCTAGAATCACCTTTCTGCTAATAGGACAGAGGTGATAATGGAGATTCACTGTCCAAGAGTTAAAATAGAGGTGACAAGCTGCATTACTCAAGCAGAAAACAATTGTGTCACCTGTCTGCCTGTGCATAGTGAATCACAGGACTGAACAGAATTACAAATAATTTGGCCATTTTAACAGTCAATATAAAAATATTTCAACTCTGTATGTAGCTATTTGCCTGGAATTCTACTTTAAACCAAAAATATTCTGCATTAGGCTCCATTCACATATAGCGTTTGCGCTTCACATGCGGTTTTCTGTGCAGAAGACCACGTGGAACGAAATTGCAAAAATGTTTTATCTGCACGGATTCTGCTCGTTTGCAGGTATTATATAGCTGAGCATGCGTGGAATCCGCCATAATATCGCGCTCGTACTATTTTGCCGGCCACGCGGTTTTGTACCACACGGCTGCCACAAAGGTCTGAACAATGCCCATTAAAGTGCATTTGTTTAGAGCAGCTCCGCGCATATTCGTTCGGCCGAATACGCACGGACAACCGCCCCTGTGTGAATGGAGCCTAAAGGTCCCCGCACACCTTACGATAATCATACGATAATCGCGGGAAATCCCGCGATCGTACGATTATCGTAAGGTGTGTGGAAGGCGTGCGACCTCTACTACTGTAAGGTCGCACAACTTTAAACTTACGAACATGTTCGAAAACCCGCCGAGCATCGTACGATGTTCGGCGGGTGTGTAGCATGTTCGTAAGATAAAAGCCGGACGGGCCGGTGTGCGCAAGCGCACACTGCCCGTTCGGCATTGCGGTCATCGGAAGCTCGCCCCTCAGGGGGCGTGGCTTGCGACCATTGCAAGTACGATCTGCCTATGCAAGATAGGCAGATCGTACGTTTTTTTAAGTACCTTACAACCATCGCAAGACAAAAGTCTTGCGATGGTTGTAAGGTGTGTGCCCAGCCTAAGGCAGGGTTTCACCTTTGTATCTCTAAAGAAGAACTCCGGGTAAAAATTTTATTAACCCTTGCAGTAGGGCTACCTCCGCACTGCAAGGATTAAGTGCTTGTTTATGTCTACTGTCAAAAATAAAAAAGTTATACCCACCGTATCTTCCGAACCGGCTTGCTCTTAGAGCGGTCCCTGGAGCCTCTCTCCCCCTATTCTGCAGTGATCTAAGGTCCCCTAGCCATCATGTTCCAAACAGTGTATAGGATGTGAGGACGCTGAGGGACATACCATCGCTGCAGTGGAGGGAAAGACAGGAAGGAGGGAGCGCTGTCGCAGCTGGCCAACTTGGAGGATCAGGTCAGTATAACATTGATATTGTTGACCCTAGGCAAAAATGAGCACTTAAGCCTTGCGGTGCGGGGGTAACTTTACTGCAAGGGTTAAGAAACATTTTACCCAGAGTTCTTCTTTAAACAAAAACCCTTCCATCTATAGCAATGGCATCATATATTCTTTCTATATTTGCAGGGGTCTTAAGGACTTCAGAAGAAATGTCGGATGGAGATGTGGATGTTACAGGAACTTGGTCACCGTATTTTCTCACAAACTTTACATACAGTGAACGAGACTTTGACCGGCTGATGGAGCTGACACAATATAATCTCCTAAACAATGAGGATCTAATCAAAAAAGCTCTCCAGACTGCCGTGGATAGAAGGAAAGCCAGGAACCTCTTAAGTGGATTGCCCCAAAGCCAAACTCAGCAGAAAACATAACCCAGGACCATTAGAAGCCCAACATCAAATACACCTAGCATTAACAGAGCAAGGTCCAAGGACAAGGTGATAGTTAAAGGGCAACTCCAGACAAAAGCCTTGTCTCTCTTTATACATTTCATGGCACAATTTACCTGCTGGAAAAGAACAGTGAAAGTAGTGCAGTATAATGTGCACATCAAAGCACGGTAATCGACAAAGCACAGCCCAATGTGTTGTGGTGCCATTCAATTTGAATGGCATCTTAACATATGCATGGAACACACCTGGGCCTCAGCACACTGCAATGCACAAAAATATATATGATATGTGTAGCAATGTACTCTGGTAAAAAGAAAGTGAAGTTTAGGGTCCATTTAAAATGAGTAGCTTGCTGTAGTGCAGTGTGCCACAATATGCCACAACGTACAATAAATTGCATGGCAACAGCGTTTCTGCAATGCATCCAGGTATGAACCAGTCCTTAGGTGTCTGGGGTTTTGTTCGCTTTAGAACTGCTTCTCACCCCATACAAGTCTACGGGATTGCAAAAGCAGCCCAAGCAGGTCAAATGCAGGACAACTGCACCTGCAAAGAAGTCTGAATGTCACAGGAGGCTCCTAAATTGATGTCAAAAGCACGCTGTATTTGCCCATCGGCTGCGGCTAGGGATTTCTGCAGTAGGAACCTACAGGTTGCGAGTGGATACCACACAGATGTGGCTGCTGTGAACATTCAAGGTAATGACAGGCTGATAGCGGCCACATCTTTCCGTGCCTGTCCGCAAGTAATTGTACATGGAATGAATAACTGCAGATTTGGAGAGATGCTCATCCCTGGACGCAATCTGTCTGCATCCAGGGACAAGCATATCTCCTGCCGCTGTCTGCTTGTCATTCGCTTGAACGGGCTCAGCGACCGCATCTGTGCGGGCACACCTAGGATCCAGCCACAAAAATCCGCAGGTTCTTGTCGAAGGAATTCCTCAGCCTTAGAGTTGTTAGCTTCACTATGTTAAAGCGAAATGTAATTTCTAGAAATATAATTCAATATCTATGTAACATTTATATTTATAATAAATAAACATTGTTAATAAACATTTGTGTATACTTTGTATTTCTGCATAAGTTTTAGCTGTACAGTTGAGAATGTTTGTGCATGTAGAAGATTGCTGAGTGGGGTAAAATCGGATCCAGATCAAAATATTCTCTTTAGTTTTGGGGAAGAGTAAGAACCTCTGTTATGGGTTTGCTGCAATGTAGTTGTCCCTGTGCATGACCCACAGTTCCTCATATACCCAGCAGCAGATTGTCTCTAGATGATCTCATCTGATTTATCAGTGTGGTGCAGGCGTAGGCAACCTTAGTACTCCAGCTGTGCTGAAACTATAGCCTCTGGGAGTCATGCCTGGGGCTGTCAGAGTTTTCAATACCTCATGGGACTTGTAGTTCCACGACAACTGGAGTGCTGAGGCTGCCCCTGGTGTAGTGTCTCCGGAAATGTCACCCCCTCCCATCCCTAATGCAGTAAAACTTTTGAAATCACACTGCCACCCCATCCCCATCAGGATTTCTCTGGACATATAACTCTCCCTGGTCTAGCAGTGTAGTGTCCCTAGCAATATCAGTACCCATTCCCCAATTCAACATTCCACATTGAAATACCACTGCAGCCCCCTTTCCTATACCCAGCAGGATGCCTCTGGACGTATAACTCTCCCTGGTCTAGCAGTGTACCGTAGTGTATCTAGCAATATCAATAATCATTCCCATCTCAGCGTTCCACATGAAAATACCAATGCCCCTATCCCCAGGAGGATGTCTCTGAACATAATATCTACCATACCTTGTCTAGCGGTGTAGTGTTCCTAGCAAGATCAATACCTATTCCCACTTGGAAATACCACTGTTCCTTCATTTCTAGCAGGATCTCTCTGGACATAGATCTCTCTCATTCCTGGTCTAGCAGCATGGTGTCACCAGCAAGATCAATACCCATTCCCAAGTCAACATTCCACATGGAAATATTTCTGCTACCCACCAACCCCCACCCTCTATATCCAGCAGGATGTCTCTGGACATATAACTCTCCCTGATCTAGCAGTGTAGTGTCCCTACTAATATCAATACCATTTCCCCAATTCAACATTCCACATGGATATACCACTGTTCCTCCATTTGCTGCAGCAGACCCCATCCTTGGTGTAGCTGCACAGATGAAAGCCTTCCTAGAACTTAGATGCCCTCTGATTGGACGAGGTGTACAGTAGATCATGATATCATGTTTCCCTTCTCTCCACATCATCCAATCAGAGAATGTCTTCTATCCATTGAAAAAAATACAAGGAATTCTCTGAATGTTGGCAATCCTGAGCAAGCGACTCTCTGTATTTAGTGCGCAGAGGGAAACCCACTGGAGCATCACCTGGAAGATCATGGCTATCACTGTATGTAGCTCTGACAAATATATTGATTTCCAGCATGCCCCGTGGCCCTCCAGAGATCAAATATAGATGCATTAAGCACAATTAACAATGAACAACGCTCTGCACTAGGGGTAATCCTAAACAAATAGAGTCAATCATTCTAAAAAAAAATTAAATGAAAGTAAAAAATAGTAACAACAAAGACATAGCACTTCTTTATTAACATTACACCCCATTCACACTGAGCGACATGGATATTGCGCGCGATTTTGCGATAAGCGGCTAGGAGCTACATTGCGCAATATTGAGCCACATTGCACATTTTATCGCGCTACGTAGCGCGCTTTTTGGGCGGGACTTCGTCGCTGCTACATTCGTCTGTAACCAATCGACAGCGATCTTGATGTGACATCATTCTTTCCTTCCATTTTGCAGTGCAAAAGTGACCCTTCTATAGCGCGATGTTGCGCAATATCGCTGGTAATGCGCGATTTCGCGCAACACTATAGAGTCTATTGGAGCCGAATCGCGCGACATCCACGCAAAAAAAGATCATGTACTAGCGACAAGCTGCAGCGACGAGCTGCAGACGACATTGAGCTGTGAGATGTGAACAGCTCCATTGAAATGCATTGGACAAGCTACATAGAGCGATAGCGCGTGGAAATATGTGCGATATCGCGGGAAAAAATTGTGCGATAAACCGCTCAGTGGGAACGGGGCCTTATAGTGCATATTCTGTAATACATAGAGGAAACAAAGTCCTTCAAGCATTAAAAGACAGAAAACCACTGCGCTAGGAGAACTAAGTTTGAAAATTTGAGGAGCCGCAACACTGTTGGTTATATTAAAGGAGAACTATGGGGTTAAGGCTTTTCCCCATAGTTCTCCTTAGGGTAACGGGAGGATACAAACTAGCGTCCTCCCGTCACCTTAGGCTCAGTATACCGCGAGCTGTAGCTACTGACCTCTGAACCCTGCCTTACACACTACTGACCAATGTGTTACATACTTCTAACCTCTGAGCTCTATGTTAAATACTACTGACCTCTGAACCCTGCCTTACACACTACTGACCTCTGTGTTACATACTACTAACCCCTGAGTTACATGCTACTGACCTTTTAACCCTGCCTTACACACTACTGACCTCTGGGTTACATGCTACGAACCTCTGAACTCTATGTTATATACTACTGACCTCTGAATCCTGCCTTACACACTACTGACCTCTGTGTTACATACTACTAACCTCTGAACTCTGTTACATACTACTGACCTCTGAATCCTGCCTTACACACAACTGACCGTTGTTACATACTTCTAACTAGGGATGCACCGATACCGATACTAGTATCGGTATCGGTGCCGATACCGACTATTTGGGTGAGTACTCGTATTCCCTCAAATGCTCCGATACCTAGCACAAGTACTTCCTGTATCAGGAACCCGGGCAGCGAATCATTACACGCTGCCCTGTTTCCTGATTGGCCAGGAAACGGCTCCATGCTCTCTTGTCACTTGTGATGAGAGAGCATGGAGCCGACTTCCCGGCCAATCAGGAAGCCGGGTAGCGTGCAGTGACGCGCTGCCCGGCTTCCCGATTGGTCAGGAAGCTAGCAAATCCAGAAGCCGAGCACCGTGTAATGACGCAGCGCCCGGCATTCTGATTGGCCGGGAAGCCGGCGTCATACTCCCTCGTCATCTCATGAATCATAATATTAAGAAAGTGACCTTAAAGCATTAGTTTGTATTCCTTTAGAAAAAATGTGACCTGTCCCTTTAAGAAAAAGTATCGGTAATTGGTATCTGCGAGTACTTGATCAAAAGTATCGGTACTCGTACTTGGTCTTAAAAAAGTGGTATCGGTGCATCCCTACTTCTAACCTCTGAGCTCTGTTACCTACTACTGATCTCTGAACCCTGCCTTACACACTACTGACCTCTGTTACCTACTTCTAACCTCTGAGCTCTATGTTACATGCTACTGACTGCTGAATCCTGCCTTACACACTACTGACCAATGTGTTACATACTTCTAACCTCTGTTACAGACTACTGACCGCTGAATCCTGCCTTACACACTACTGACCTCTGTTACATACTTCTAAACTCTGAGCTCTGTTACATACTTCTGACCTCTGAACCGTACCTTACACATTACTGACCACTGTGTTACCTCTAACCTCTGTCACATACTACTGACCTCTGAACCCTGCCTTACACACTACTGACCTGTGTTACATATTTCTAACCTCTGTGTTACATACTACTTACCTCTGAACCCTACCTTACACACTACTGACCTCTGTGTTACATACTCTGAGCTCTATTTTACATACTACTGACCTCTGAACCCTGCCTTACACACTACTGACCTCTGTTATTTACTTCTAACCTCTGATACACACTACTGACCTCTATGTTACATACTACTGACCTCTGCATTACACACCTTAGCTCTGAAAACTGTTACATACTACCGACACCTGCACCGTACGTTACACAATACTGGTGAATAGAGCCATATTACACTTTCTGCCAAAGAATAAATAAATGCTCCCATGCAGCAAAAAAAATGTGCATTACTTTTGAGCCTGCAAAGTATTACAAGCACAATGAGTTGATCCGGGTGCAAGCGTAATGAAACCATGTTGCACCCTCAATATGGGTGTAACATGGAACATGATATAAAAGCTGGAATTAGTCTTTAACTGTCCCTGTAATTAAACACACATGCAACAGGAAGATTCATCTGCAGTGAATATTTGAGTGAATGTCACATTGCATTTTCTCGTGCACATTGCATCCCTGTTGTAAATAAGTGACAAACCCTCCAGATATCTGTCACCGGTGGTGATGATGAGCGGTCACAGGGTGATGATGAGCAGACCGGTTAATGGGCTCCTCCGGCTGTCCCGTCGCTCACCACTAGATGTCCCGGAGAGTCGCTGGTAGGTGCCCTCTTGGGTGACATCATGTGTGATTGGCAGGTCTGTGCAGTGGTGGGCGGGGTTAGGGCTCAGGTGACGTGTCCGTGTCTGGGGATAGGCGGATCCCGTACACCCGGCGATAACAAGGAAGTGCTCAGCCCATGCTGGAGAGCAGCGGACACTTGACAGGGCGCAGCACTCGGGGAGAACCCATAGGACATGTTCAGCTGGATGGGGAAGGAGAGCGGCTCCGGCCGCCAGCAGCAGGACGTGCACCAGACGGTGACGGGCGGCCTGCAGGCTTTGTATACCGGGAAGCTGCTGCCTCTGGAGGAACATTACCGCTTCCATGAGTTCCATTCCCCGGCGCTGGAGGAGGCGGACTTCAAGAACCGGCCCATGGTGCTGCTGGTGGGCCAGTACAGTACGGGGAAGACCACCTTCATCAGGTGAGGGCAGAGGATGATGGGTGGAGTGTATTCTGTAGCCAAGGGGTGCCATGGCTGTGACCTCATTGTGCAATGTATGACCTCATTGTGCCAATCATGACACCAACCCCTGTGCTGGTATTGGACCTGACTCTTACCCTCATTGTGCCATACATGACAACTGCCTCCTGTGCTGGTATTGGACATGGTTCTCGCCCTCATTGTGCCATACATGACAGCTGTCCCCTGTGCTGGTATTGGGCATGGCTCTGACATTGTGCCATACATAACGCTGCCCCCGTGCCGGTATTGGGCATGGCTCTGACCTCATTGTGCCATACATGACACTGCCCTCGTCCCGGTATTGGGCATGGCTCTGACCTCATTGTGCCATACATGACACTGCCACCGTGCCGGTATTGGGCATGGCTCTGACCTCATTGTGCCATACATGACACTGCCCCCTGTACTAGTATTGGACATGGCTCTGACCTCATTGTGCCATACATGACACTGCCCCCTGTGCTAGTATTGGACATGGCTCTGACCTCATTGTGCCATACATGACACTGCCCCCTGTACTAGTATTGGACATGGCTGTGACCTCATTGTGCCATACATGACACTGCCCCCTGTAGTAGCATTGGACATGGCTCTGACCTCATTGTGTCATACATGACAGCTGGTACTGGACATGGCTCTCACACTTGTATCATTCATGGCAGCTGCCTGTGTGTTGGCATTGGGCATGGATCTCACCCTAATTGTACCATACATGCCAGCTTCTGCTGTTCTGACATTTTTCCTTCTCTGTGACTGGCATGGCTCTCATCGTCACTGTGCCATACATACATACATACATACATACTGGCTGACCCTGTACTGTTATGTTTCTTTCAGTTTGACTGGCTTGGCTCTCACCCTCATTGTACCACCTTTTGTCTCTGTTCTTGCATGCTTCCTTATGTATGACTGGCTTGGCTCTGCCCCTAAATATGCCACGTGTTATACATGTCACCTGCCCCAACCACCTCTGGACTGGTATGTTTCCTTCTGTGTGACTGGCATGGCTACGACCCTCACTGGGCCACCTCTGCCATGCATGCCAGCTTCCCCTGTACTGGTATGGTTCCTTATGTGTGACAAGTGTCAACGTCACCATGCCAGCTGCCTATGACCTCTCCGCACTAACTTACTACAACGTACTCTCCCCTGCCCACTTTAAATGTGCCCATCTGATATAGAGATGATGGACGTTTAGCAGATCATATCATTCTACATTCTGAGGGATTCATTGGTCATAACACGTAAGGCTATTGTTATCAGGTGGAAGAAACCACGCCCCCCCCCCATGGGATTCATGATGAGAATCTGATCTTGAGATGACTACAAGATGAGCTGTCCTGGTCCGAATATTATGACAGCCATTCATTGCTGTATGTTTATTGTTATGTATTTTACAACAAAACCACATTGTATGTCATCATGGTTAACACAAGACTGTCAACATGTTTATATTTTCTTTTATTCTCTTATGCTAAATGTCTATGATCAGACATCTTTGTATTCTGAATGTAACACCTTTTGGACTCTTCAAAGCTACAATTTTTTTTTTTTGTTACAATTGTTTGAGGTCAGGAAAAAAGAGTTTAACCTCCCTGGCGGTATTCCCGAGTGTAGCTCGGGGTTACTTTTCCATACCATAAGCGGTAACCCAGAGCTACACTCGGGAAAGCTGCATAGCATTTACTGACCTTGTCCCTCGAGCCACGCTTCCTGCCGCCTTCCGGGTTCCGTCGCTTGCAAGCGTACGCATCGCAGGGGGGCGGAACCGGCGAGATATTTAAAAAAATAAATTAAAAAAAACGACAAAGACAAAAAACATTCGGAAAAAAAAAATAGACTGAAAAATGACCGAAAAAAATTAAAAGTCATACCGCCAGGGAGGTTAAAGTGCAAATAGTCCAATGTTTTTTTTTTTTTTTAGTTTTGGGTAGAGTGGAGAGGCATTAGAACACCTGTCAGTTGTTTTTTTTTTGCTGTCTGTGTCCCCGTTAGGGAGATTTGCCATCCCTAATTGTTCTTCTGACCATTATCACTGAAAGTGAATGAAAATCCCACATTTTGGGTTTGGGGAAACAGATAGGAAATCTTCCAATGGGGACCCTGCTGACCACCAGTGATTTCCCTCACTTTGGAGAGATTTCCTCTTACTACCTGTTGTAGCTATCAGACACGAAGTGAAATCTCCCCAATGGGACACAGATAGCCAAAAAAAAAAAAAAAAAAGCTAACGGGTTACAATTCTCCTTTTACGAGGGATGCACCGAATCCAGTTTTTCGGTATCAAGTACCGATATTTTCTTTTCTGCACTGGCCAATACCGATATCGGAAGTCCCATTAAGGAAGCCAGGCGGAGTGTAATGACTCTCCACCCAGTCTCCCGATTAGCAGGGAAGCCGTCTCCATGCCCCCTGTCACCAAGTGACGAGGAAGCATGGAGCCGGTTCTCTGGCCAATCAGGAAGCCGGGCGCCATGTAATGACGCGTCGCCCGGCTTCCTGATTGGTCGAGAAGCTGGTCAATCAGGAAGCCAGGCAACGCGTCAGTAAACGGTGCCCGGCTTCCTGATTGGCTGGGAAGCTGTCTCCATGTTCCCTCGTGACGAGGGAACATGGAGTAGGCTTCCCTGGCCAATCCGGGCAGCAAATGACTCGCTGTCCGGCTTCCTGATGCCTGGCCCGAAACTTGAGCTTCCGGTATCGGAGCATTTGGGCGAGTACGAGTACTCACCCACATACTCGGCATCGGCACCAATAACAATAATAGTCCCTCTCCCTTACACTATCAAAAAAAAAAGAAGAGTTTTGACTTTAGTTCTTCTAGAAAAAAAAAATATAAATATATATTTGTTTCACTTCTTTGGAGTATACTCCACTTCTTTGTTATCCTGCCATTATCCTTTTGTGCAACATAAACCTGGCTCAGGGTAGGAATGCCTATACTGGGAGCCTATCAGACATATTGCGTGGGAGCCAGAGCGGTAGCTGCTGGAACGCACAGCAATCGCATACTAAACTTCCTCCTTCGTTCTGGAGCAGGATTGGGCACGGTGGTGCATTGAAGTTAATGGCACCGCGGCTATGCCCCCACCCCCTACCCACAGTGCGATTGGACGTGTGGCAAAACATTGCTTGCCTTCCGGTCCACTGCGAACGGTAAAAATGCATGTTCTATCTGAGCGGTAGCTGCTGGAACGCACAGCAATCGCACACTAAACTTCCCCCTTCGTTCTGGGGCTGGAGGCGCCGTGGCGGTGCATTGAAGTCAATGGCATCGCAGCCGCCACACCCCGTGGTCAAGCAGTGCGTTTTGGACGTGTGGCAAACCATTGCCTGCATTCCGGTCCACTGCAAAAGCAAATAGTGCTGCAAGCTCTATTTTTTGCATTCGCAGTGGACTGGAATGCAGGCAATGGTTTGCCACGCGTCCGATCACGCTGTGGGGCGTGGCTGCAGTGCCATTGACTTCAATGCACCGACACGCCCCTTCCCGCCCCATAACGAAGGGGGAAGTTTAGTGTGTGATTGCTGTGCGTTCCAGCAGCTACTGCTCTGGAACGCACCGCAATTTGTGTGAACAAGCCCTTAAAGCTCTTTTACTGCTTGTTAAACTGTGTAAATCCATTCTTGTCCTTAGTCTGTGTACAGGCTTTAGGAGTGTTGATGCTGCTTCATGATTCATAATGATCTGGATACTGGCGTCACCTTCCTGGCTATATTGTTGGCCATAGGCACGTGAATCACAGAAGTGGCTGAACAGCTTTGGAAATATCTTGGCAGGTAAAAAGGTCACATATGTGTGTTCAGTGGTATTTTGCTATTTGACTGGAATTTCGAGTGGAAGGAAACCTGTCACTAAGGAAAAAGAAAAAGCACAGGAACACTCAGCCATTCACTAACTAAAGTAACATGCTCCTGCCAAGTCTTTCTGTGAACAAATGAATGTTTCAGTGTAGTACTAAGTTTGTTGTGGGTGCAGGAAATAGCTGCTGCCATTTATATAGTTCAGGCACCTAGAGGGATGCATACATTCAGCAGTCTCTGCTGCCACATCCAAATCCTGAGCTTTTCTAATCTGCAATGCTCTGACATTTTGTGGTAGTGTCAGAGCTTGCCATTCCGCCCCGCTCACCCACTGGCCCATGAGATGATGATGATGATGAGATGTCTCCATGGCCATTAGGAATGAGCTGGATCGGCACTGGGGCTTTAAAAAAGCATCTCAAAATATAGCGTTCTATTCTATAGCATCTCCTTTAAAGCATCGTATATGAGAAGTTTAACACATAGGCACCCCGTTCACATCACGCTGCTATGAATTTGATGTTTTTTTGAGATGCTGAAGAATAGATTAGATAGATATAGATATATATATATTTATAACTTTCTGGTGCTGTTGCAGGGGTAGCCAAACTTTGGCCCTCCAGCTGTGGTGGAACTACAAATCCCATGAGGCATTGCAAGATTCTCACAGCCATAGACTTGACTCCCGGAGAGGGATGCATCATGGGATTTGTAGTTTCACCACAGCTGGAGGGGCCAGAGTTTGGCTACCCCTGGCCTAGGGCATTTGATGCATGGGGATGTGCAGACACAACCATTAGGAATGTGCAGCTGGGTGTCAGAATGGTCCAGGATGTGGCTGCAGGTATGAACATCTCTATGTTTGCTCTGCACTATATACCGTACCTCCTAGCAGCAATAGCCAGCACTCTATAAACACATGTATTAAAAGCAGAGGTGTTGGCAGCATATATTTGCAGTAAATCTATGTGGAAGGCACACTGCCCCATCAAGGTCCTTCTGTCTAGTGTGGTCCCTAAGCTAACAAGGAGTGCATGGAGGTAAATAATTCCCCCTTAAAGGTGCAGAGACGGGCGTGGCCGGGATGTGAAGCAGCGCGGACGTGACTGAGGGAGCTCCGCCGCTGCACTGACCTTTATCCGGCATCCATCCTGTAGATTCGGCTCCTGTTGTACTCACCTAAGCTCCGGTGGATGTCCGGAGCAGGGGGAGATGCCATCTAGGTCCGGTAAGAGAGGCAACGGTCCCAAAGGAGGCTGGAGACGATCACAGCGAGTGCAGAGACACACCAGAAGCCAAGCACAGCATGTAGGCAGCTGATGATCTCCAGTGTGACCCTTCAATCAGTAACTAGCTCTTTAAACTCCCATTCACACCAGTTGCAGTGCGTTCTGGCCGATTCTGCAGCACTGCCTGCATGCTGTGCTGAGCTTCTGGTGTGTCTCTGCACCTTTTAAGGGGGAATTATTTACCTCCAGGCACTCCTTGTTAGCTTAGGGACCACACTAGACAGAAGGACCTTGATGGGGCAGTGTGCCTTCCAGATAGATTTACTGCAAATATATGCTGCAACTGGTGTGAACGGGCCCTAAAGCAAGGTGCACCTGACAGCAGTTTTCTTCTCTAGCTACAGAGTTGCCATAAGGGCAGGTTCACAGTCACACCATTTTCCAGACCAAATCTGGTCCAGATTTGGTCCGAAAAATGGTGTAAACCTCTGCTCACAGTTCCAGTGTATTCCAGACCAGACAAAATGAGACATGCAGTATTTTTCTGGTCTGGTCTGAAACGGACTGCGCTGGTGTGAACAGAGGCCAGAAATAGCATAGGGATACATTAGGATGCATTTTGGGTCTGGAAACAATCAGGTCTGGTCTCAAGACTATCTGAATGTGGTGTGAATGGGCCCCCAAGGGACACTAAACTCAGGAACACTAGTCTTAAAAATACCTTCAAGTACCTTTTAACTATTAACATTAATTATTTAACATTAATTATATGTATCTTATTTGTGTATCACTCGGCTGTAGATCCTCAAATCACCTCCGCTCTAAGCTCGCTCCCGTGATGGACTCATGTATAATCTACTAATTTGTATTGAAATTGTAATCCATCACAGGGACGAGCTTGGAGCGGTGACTACTTTACAACACACACAGGGACCATGGGGAAGAAAAGTAGCCCCCCTCCAGAAGGAAGGACAGTGTCCGCACCACTTCAGAGATGATTTGAGGATCTACAGCTGTGTAATGCACAAATAAGATACATTTTTGTTAATAGTTAAAGTGGACCTTTACCCATATCTTTAAAATAACAACAAACACACATTTAGAAATGTTTAGTAATGATAATCTACAAACTGATACGTCTAGATAATTGCCGGCTTTGTATTCTTTGCATAGCCTAAAGATTTAACTTCTGAGTTTAGTGTCACTGTAAGGTAATAAATGAATGTTAATAAATATATAGACACATTCCTTAGTTATTATTAGTCCTCTCTGAATCTTTTGCATCTAATAATAATAATGTGACTTTGTGTACCAGACAAACATAGCTAAAGACTCTCGAACTTTGGGAAGGTTTATTTTCTCCCTCTGAACTTCCATGTTCCCTCCGGGCAGGAATACGCATTGTTTTTGGTTGACAGTTGCAGGGGACATGTTTAGATTAATAGAATATATATAACTGTGGTGGAGCAGAGGAAGCTGAACCTTGTGTTTGGGAGTTCAGACCCGGGACATACTAGTTCACATGAGTCTGAACTTTTGTTTGCAGCGGAAAGGGAATGCTAACATAGGCAACTTTTAAAAAGTGCACACTCTTTAAAACACTGCAAATGCAAAGTTCAGTTGAATAGCTTGTGGTCTGTAGCTGTTATTGGTCAGACGTTGGTTTCATGTCACTAAAGGGGGTTTTAGTCCAGCCTTTGTTATGCTAGCTAAAGTAGTTAGTACCATTATTCAGGAAAGTCCAAAAGTTGTTTTATGGGTCTCTTATTTAGAAATGGAGAATATGTCTCTATAGTAGGTAGCAGCCCATCTTATTGCCAATATCTGCTTAACAGGGCAGACTAGAAAATGGAAGATGTTCAGATTGACAAGTACAGGAAGCCAAGACATGTGCTTCAGGATTTACAAGGGTCATACGTCTGGGGGTTTGCTGCAGCATTCACATTTTCAACTGTAGTCATTCATTGCTTGTTATACTCCCAATAAATAGGTATACATGTCTTTACTGGATATCCTGGCTCTGCCTAATCTGTGGATTGCAGAAGGTATACATGAGTCGAAGACTCTTGTCTGTTCAACAAACCTTCCTAGATGTACTAGAAAGTTTTTTTATTGCAGCATATGACTTCCTGTGACAGGCATTTGTTACATATGTAATGAGATGTGTTCCAGTGACTACAGGAATAGTTAGGTTCAAACTATGGAAGATACACCTGCTCACTGCTTTCACTTCCTCACTAGATATCCACATCTGTTTCCTGCTACAGAACATCATACTGGATGAGATCTTGGGGTACCAGTGCCTAAAAAATGTATGCTGGCCATAGTCTAGTTTTGTTAAGATCTGATTTCTTCCTACACAGAAAACCTCATGACAAATAGTAATTGAAACAAAATGTAAAAATCCAGAGGTTAGTCTGCAGGAAGTGAAAGAGCGTAGGAGCATGATGCTCGTCAATGAGAAGATGTCCAGTGTTTTCCAGGACTCCCAGTCTAAGTGCCTTAAAATTTGGGAACCCTGGGTTACTTTTTTGCCTTTCCTTTCTTGAATCCTTGTAGTCTTTAGTCACTTGTAGATTACCTGTTTATGTTTGGATTGAGCCATTGGGGGTGTGGATAGGAGCTCTCAGTCCCCCTGTTTTTTCCTTCTCCTTCCCTGGTCCCTCCCCTTTCCCGCTCCCTCTTTGTTGCACTGTCCTCTGTCCATTTAGCCCTCCTTCCACCTCTCTCACTTCTTCTCCTGATTTCTCTTTTACATATTTCCTGTATTCCTCTTGCCATCCAAGTTGAACTATTCCATAGTGGGTGGGAAATGACTTATTGGCACATTGGTCCTAGGCACAGGGCTGTTGTTTCTCACCCTTGGTGCCATTTTTCTTTTGCTCCTGTACACTTTTTGTTGTGTATGTTTACATTCCTGCCTCTGCTTGGGCTACACAGCTTTCAAACCTTTAAAAATGAATACAAATGATTGCAACCGATAACACCCCCCCCACACGTAATAACTGTGTATTCACACTACTAAATTATCAAAAGGGCTGCACAAATCTGTTGGGTCACCTGTGTATGGCCATCATTGCTCTTTCCAAAATGTTATAAAATGCAGCTTTTATGTAACTTGTCCTGGCAGATGAGGAATATAAATGTTAAAGAGCCAGAAGCACCAAAATGGTTGGGTTACTATGAAGGCCATACCTCGGTTCAGCACCTAAGATACTACTTTAGTTCTTGGACCTTGCTAGAGATTCCTATCGCCATCTCGGCATTGCTGGTTGCAGAGCCTGTTCTGCTGCTCTAGTAGCCACCCGCTTTCTGGCCAGATACAAAGACAAGACAATCAGCAGTGTGGATTAATAAAAGTAAATAACTTCATATTTCATTGACACCTCTTAGCCCTGGTTCACGCCTAGATAGAAGTTTTTGAGCAGTTCGAAAAGCGCTTTTAACTGCCCAACACAAGAAATCCCATGATTTTAAATGCCCTGGTTCACACCTGAGCAGAAAAACGCCAGCAGAAAAACGTCAGACGCATGAAAAAATGCAGGAGATTCTTTGGGCAGTTAAAAGCGCTTTTCCTCCCCATAGACTTCATTGGAAATGGCCAAAACGTGCAACAGAAGCATGTTGCACTTTTTTGTGCGTTTATACGCGTGTCCTTCCATTGCCCACAATGGGTTTATGAGCTGCCAACCAAAACGCGTGTGAACCAGGGCTTAAAGGAAACCGCTCCTGAAAGTATCATACAGGCTGGCATTGCTGACTTCTCATTCTTCCAATGCTATTTGCCTGGCTGTCATATTGTCCTCTTGTTTCTAACTAAGTGGTTGACTCCAAAAAAAAGTATACAGATCCAGAGGATTTTTATTGGTTTGCATAAAATGTGCTGAAGCCGGTTGGATCAGATTTATAACTAGGCAACTAACCTTTTCAGGAGGAGATCGGCAATGGCAGCCTAAATCTAGGAAAGAGTTCCTTTTAAAGTGAAGCTGTGCTTTGCCCATGCAGGTTTGCTTTGTTCCCTCCATCCCCAACAACATTTACCGATCTTATGTCACGATGTGGGCCAGTCACCAAGCTCCCGTTAGAACTTTTTATGTTTTTTGCAGCTAATGCAACATTTCATCATTATTACATAAAACAAAAATTCTCACCTTCAGTGGGTCTGTAGAAGGAAAAAGAAGACAATGTTTGTTTTATGACCTTGTTATCACCTCTGTATGATTTATATGACTCGAGCACACAACACGTTTTTTAAAGTTATCATTTTTACTGAACTGTTTTTCTTATCCATATCCAATAAGGTGTAATTTGTGTTCTTCTAATTTTACAGATACTTACTAGAACAAGATTTTCCAGGAATGCGAATTGGACCTGAGCCTACAACGGATTCATTCATTGCTGTCATGCACGGTGAAAAAGAAGGAAGCATTCCAGGAAATGCGTTGGTTGTCGACCCCAAAAAACCCTTTCGTAAACTAAATAGTTTTGGGAATGCCTTTCTAAACCGGTGAGCTCTCATTACAAATCTAATTTGCTGTAAAATGTACAGAATCCTCCAGAAATATCCGGCCTTCAAATTGGGTGCATGTTATAGGATTACTTTGGTGTAGCTGTTCTTGTTGAAACTCCTTTTGTAACTGAATAGGCAGCTTTGAACTAAGTGACATTTAAGGGATCACATGATGGTTGTAGGAAGGATCCAATAAGATGCTGAAGTAGGACATTTTTTCAGTGACATGTACAGTTTGTGTAGTCTGCAATTTGTACTCAAGCTCAACTGAACTGATATTTCTGCAATCTGTACAGTGATGCTTTGTTTTTATTTCAATATTTTTCCAATGTGCCAACAGTAGTTACTAGGGATTAGGGTTGCAACTAATGTTTATGTTCATAATCGATTTAGTTGGCCGATGATTTTTATTTCCGATTTTAATCGGATAAAAAAAATAAACATTAAATACCATCTTTAATTTAAAATAAAATACACGAGGGCGTGGCTTGGACATGGCGCCGTGAGCACACGCATTAGGAGAGCTCTGCAGCCACTGAACCGCACCGACGTCTTAACGAGCCCTATGCCCTGAATTCCTTCATGCCCAAGGAGCAGAGGACCCACAGCACCCACGGTGACCCCAGATCTGCCTCCCTCTACAACGATTGCCGCGGCCTCGACTGCAGCCAAGATGGCGCTTACCCGCTCCTCGGCGGCCGGTCTCCTGTCAGGTAGGAAGCAGGGACGAGGCACAACAACCCTGACCCCTGACCAGGATGAGCCCCGAGAACCGGAATGCCCAGGGTTCCCAAGCCAGCCACAGGACACACCGCGCCCAGGCTCCCCGCCCAGCCCCTCTCTGTTCACACACGTGCTGACTCTGGATGCACAGGGGGAGAGCGGTCTGCAGGGCCTGCTGCCGCATCTGCCCACTAAAAGGGACCTTGACAACATGGCTTCCTCTATCGTTGCGGCCCTAAAAAAAGAGCTCCATGACCTCACCCACCGCATTGAGGCAGTAGATGAGCGTGTCACCTCGGTGGAATCCGTTACCACATCTCTGTCGGCTCGCGTAGAGGCCCTGGAAGCGGACGCACAAATGACCACCACTCGCCTGATGTCCATGCACCTCCGCCTAGACGACTCAGAGAACCGGAACCGCAGGAATAACATACGCCTGCGAGGTATCCCAGAGGCCACGTCCGGCATCCACCTGAGAGACACTGTGGCTGCCATTCTTAACGCCCTGCTGGGTAAGGCCCCTGACGCAGCCTTGGAACTTGACCGGGTCCACAGGGTCAACAGTGCGCGCCCTCCTACGCCTTCTGTACCCAGAGATGTCTTGTACGAGGGACAATACACCAGGGTGCTGAATGTAATACACCATGCCCGCTCCACCCCGTCACCTTTTGATGCTACTATCCACTGACGCAGAGAAAGCATTTGACGGGGTGGAGTGGCGCCTCCTTCAGACCACACTTCGCCACATAGGCCTGGGCCCAAACATGTTGCGTTGGATTTCTGCACTCTACTCGTCCCCGTCGGCTGCCGTCCGTGTGAATGAGGCCCGCTCTGACTTTTTCTCTATATCCAATGGCACCAGACAGGGATGCCCCCTTTCCCCGCTCATATTCATACTTACTCTAGAACCTTTCCTTTGTCACATACGATCCATCTTTACACCGGCTCAAAAGGACCGCATCCTACACCTAGCACATCACTCCTCTATTGCATCCAAGACCCAGGAGCTGGGTTATAAAATAGTATCTAGATGGTACCGAGTCCCAACAGCTCTCCATATGATGTACCCTAAGGTCCCACCTACATGCTGGAGGTGTCAGAGTGCCCCGGGCACGTTAATACATACATTCTGGTCCTGCCCTCTTTTACTCCCGTTTTGGCGAGGGGTGATTGCCACCATGAGAGACCTGGTGATGGTGGACCTGACGGACAACCCCGCAGCATGTCTGCTACACCTGAATGACATGTCCATGGGGAAATACAAAAAATCATTATCCCGACACCTCCTGAATGCCCCGCCCGACTATGTATCCCACTACTGTGGAAACAGCCTACTTGTCCCCCCCTCAGTCTGTGGCTTGTCAAGGTCAATGAGATATATGTGATGGAGAAACTGACCTCTACGCTCCTGAACACTGAGGAGTTCTTTCGGGAGACTTGGAGACCCTGGGCCTCTTTCCAGGACGCAGATGCCTACCGCCAGGCCATGTCCACGACACCCTCCTAGGTCCGAGCGGGGAATGAAATGGAATGCTACTCTCTAGACCCATAACCTTGCTGCTCCTTCCCCCCCCCCAGTTCCCCTCCCTCTGGCTCTCTCCCCCTTATCTTACCCTATATACCTTTCGTCCATACACTGACCCACACTCCCCGCCTTAGCCTATCCCCGTTAATGTCATACATAAGCAAACCATTGACATATGTGTTTTGGAGTGATAGAAACTGTCAGTCTATCTGAGTTTGCTTACCAAGGGCGACTGCCCCAGTGCCTGTGACCGTATTAGACCTATACCACACTGATGTTTTATTACCTGATTTCCGATTTGTATTGAACATGCGGTCTGTTGTTTTCCACTTACTTTTCAAATGTGATGCGTAAGGTCCTCAAGGCCACACAACGCTTGTTATGTTGGGCTGGCTAGCCCTCTCATGCTCTCATTACATGTAATGAGATGACTGTACTCCCCTACCCCGAATGTGTATCGCAGAAGTTGTTATATTGTTGAGACACTGTCTCCTTATGTCATTGTACCTTTTCTGTGTATAATAAAGCTGATTCTTGATTTAAAAAAAAAAAAATACACAAATGGAGTGTTACAAAAAGATTTCGCACCACACTGGAATGCACTGCATTGTGTTACCGCGCGTTCCAATGCAGACGATCGCACGGCGGGTGAGAGGAGTGTTTGCACGCATTCATGGGGGGCGGGGGACATTACTTTTTTCGGTGTATTTTTACATTTATTTATTTTTTGTTAACTTTATTGCTATCACATGGTGGGGCTCATACCTTGGGGGTGTGATAGCACATTGGAGATGACCGTTTCTCTTTAAGGTGACATTAGGGGTCTACAGGTGAAACTCGAATAATTAGAATATCGTGCAGAAGTTCATTTATTTCACTAATGCAACTTAAAAGGTGAAACTAATATATGAGATAGACTCATTACATGCAAAGCAAGATAATTCAAGCCGTGATTTGTCATAATTGTGATGATTATGGCTTACAGCTCATGAAAACCCCAAGAACCCCAAATCCACAACCTCAAAAAAGTAGATTATTACATGCAGTCAATAAAACAAGGATTGTACATAGAACAATATCGGACCTCTGAAAAGTACAAGCATGCATATGTACTCAGTACTTGGTTTGGGCCCCTTTTGCAGCACTTACTGCAATTACTTTTGCACGATATTCTAATTATTCGAGTTTCACCTGTATGAGACCCCTAGGGTCACCTTTCCACTTCTAAGGAGCTATTCAAGCAAACATGGCTTAAAAAGCTTCGGTCAGGGAATGTAAACACAGCAGGTAGTGGGTGTGTGCAATAGCCAAAAGGGCTGCAGAAAAAGATATTTAGAACTCTTCTTTTTTTTTTTTTAAAGGAAAATATCAGGAGTCTGTTTAGACCCCTGATATTTCCCCAAAGACCCTAACAGTAAAGTAAAAAGATAATTTAAAAATAATTTTTTTTATCATTGCGGCCAGTGCATATATGACATTTTCGACATCACCAGTACGCTGCCGCTTATAAACACCCATCTGTCCCAGATTTGGGTCGAGAAACACCAAAGATTCAATTCCCTTACCTAAAACACTTGCAGGGTTATTCACAAAAGCGTGAGGAGTTTGGAGAAGGCAGGAGAAGTTAACAATATGGGACAAAATAGCTGAACTGGAAACATTTTCCAGTTCATCTATGTTGTCCTAGATTGTTCACTTCTCCTGCCTTCTCTAAACCCTTCACCCTTTAGTGAATAACCTTGTAGGTGTTATTTGCAGTCATGTGACTGATATTTCCAGCTTTTAATGTTACAAATTAGGGTTGTTACAGAAAAGAACAATTATAGCTTAGTGAAATTTAAGTCTTAAAGTATAGATGTACTTATGAAAACAAAACGCCTAAATACTGCCACCTTCCTTCCGCCTTGCCCTTCTCCACACAGTACATTAACATCCAGTGTGGGACCAGGCACTTCTGTTGTAATGGGAAGGCTCAGCTCTGGGTTATATAGATGGATAGGATAGATGTGTCCTGTGGGTTGACGATGACCAGTAAGTACACCATCTGAGGTTTTTTTTTTCTTTATATTTAGAGAAAAGGCAAGGATGAGGAACCATATTATGGTGTTTCATGTTTTAGAAAGTGCACTTGTACCATTTGCCTTCCATTGTGCACATAAAAAAAAAATTGTTTATTGAAAATGTTGTGTACATCAAGAGTTTGAGGTGTTTTTGTTTTTTTTTGTTTTCTCTTTATTCCAGCAAAATATGAAGAAAGAAATGTATCAAAACTGGAGCAGACAAAATCTGGAGCAGCTGTGCAAGTCAACTAATCGGCTTTTCTCTTTCATTTTCAAATCTTAACTGAACAAACTGAAGAGAGAAGCTGATTGGTTGCTCTGCACAATTGCTCCAGTTTTTGTCTGCTCCAGTTTTGATAAATTCCCCCTGAAATGTTTTAAGATTGCCACCATGCCCACCAGTGGAATATGTCTGGATCTTCATTTCTCCTGTGCTGCAGAGTTTGTACATTCTTGGTGGTATTGTGTACTGGGTACATACAGTTCACCCAATTTGGGTTCATATACCTATTAGGAGAATCGGGTGATAGTTAGCTCAGCTACAGATTTACTGAGGCAGAGTGGGCAAAGTGTCTTTTTTTTTTAATTTGCTCTGGCCCCTAGCTTCAGCGTGCCTTGTGTGGCTATGAAGTCTGAATTTGTTGGTGTGGTTAGTCAGATTCCTAGAATAGGAGGGGGCAGAGCTAGAT